AACGATGGCTACGTGCGTCTCTGGAGCGCCGCCAGTTTGGATTAATTCATAAACAAGACCGCGGACGGCGACGCCTCTAGCATACGGAAATGGAAATATGAAAAAGACGACGGGTAGAGAGGATCGATGTACGTACGGGCGACGGGCGGCCGCGTCTCGAGGGCGAGCGACGGTGGCATGTCGAGATGGTTGACTGATGCGTCTGGTACCACTTCTGACATCTATAGCAAACCACGCATCAGGAAGGATTCAAGGCGACGCAACAATGGAGTATGCGACCATGGACGGCGTCGGAACGGCAAACGTCGGGGATGTTGCTGGTCGTGCGTCGGCGCCTAAGCAGCAATGAGCTAATCCACGGCGGAGCGGGTAGTACGAGGACGACTCTCGGCAGTTGTACGCGCGTCTTGGAGCGCCGCGACGATGCCGTAGACCAGCGGGATCTGGTTGTAGCGCGGGTCTTCCGCAACTACACGCCATGCGTCTGTATATGGAGGCTCAAGAAGATGACGTACTGTGGAGCTCGTGGGCGAGGAAGCGGCGCTGGAACGGGCGTTCGAGCGGCTGGCCCGACTCGGGCAGAAAGACCGAAAGCGTGTGGCGATACCCGTTGTACTCCAAGTACTCGCGGATAAGCTCGTTGATGATCAAGTTCTCGTTCGAGAGCTTGGGCTTCACGCCGCCCTACTTGGCAATAGGAGCAAAGAGACGGCGTCGCGGCCTCGCACCTCGTCCAAGGCTTGGAAGATCTCGGCGCGCAGCCGCGCTTTGATCGGGCCCAGCGAGCCCCTTGCTTCAAGCGTCTCCTTGAGCGCTAGACGAGGCCATCACGTGAGCTTCGTCGGGTCATACGTGGCAGCCTACCGTCCTTGAGGTCGCCTAGCGAGAGCGTCTCGTCCATGCTGCAAATTGATTTGGACTCCGGTTACGTTATCCGGAAGATCGCAGCAAAGCGATCGTGTTGCGCGGGAATGCCGGCGGCCAGGCGCAGTTTGCACAGAGCGAGCCACGACCAGATCCCTTACATTCGGACCGCAGCGACCAGTTCCCCAGCCGCGAGAACCACAATTTCTGGATGTCTCGCGCCACATAACTTTATAGATCCACGCACGCCGAGCCTCGTCGAAATCACACAGACATGCGAACTTGACGTCATGAGAAACAACCTTGGACTCTCGTGTCACCACGGACGCAGAGGATAAATCTTGCTCGGAATCGTGGCAGCTCGATCGCTTCCTGCTGTGTCATAGCTCTAGAGTTATGTTTGCGTCCAGGAAATCCGTGCTACTAGTACACTGCTCGCCATCGGTATAAGACACTCTATAACTATTTTTGTACAAAGACTATATAACCTCGGCGCGGCTCATGGCTTTGACAGGACTTAGATAAGTGGATGGCGCAACAGCTCTTAAATTTTGAAGTCGATCGGTGTAAAACTGTGTGTGTGCCAAACCCATGTCTAAAAAAAGCCATTTCTCACCGCGACATCGGTAAAAGACAAGGGGCATGAAATCCACGAAGAAAATCTATTAGATCGCCGTATTTAGCATTAATAGTGCGTCATGGCACCACGGTTGAGGATTACCTCGACGCAACGCGACTTCATCGATAAGCTGAGCGTCTTGAGGCGTTCC